GCAAGGTACAGTTTGTTTAATGTATTTTTCCATCTGGCTGGGGAATTGCCTGAGAAGGGGGAGCTGTGCAGGGCCAGGGAGTCTCTGTGGATGCAGCTGGGAGGTTCCTGTGTGGGCACAGCAGAGCCCTGGCTGGGCTATGGGCAGAAAAGGGTTTGTCCCAGTCCAGCAGGGTCTGCGAGCCCTGATAGCCCCGGCACAGGGCAGGGCTGTGCCTGCCCAGGGCTGATAAGGCTGCGGAGCTGCCCTGGGGGTGAGGATGAGGAGGAGGCTGACACAGGGAGTGCCTGGGGCTGTGCTGGGTGCAGGGATGGGGAGCTCGGGGCTGGCAGCACCAGGAGGGGAAGGGAGTGATTTCAGGGCAGTCTGTGGGAAGGAGATGGCTCTTCTGGGGTTCCTCTCCAAGCTGTGGCTCCCTGTGTCCAGTTTCCCAGCTTGGCAAAGGCTGGCTTGTCCCCTTGCACTGCTTTTGTAGGAGCAGCAGAGGCACATCCCATCCCGCACCCCCAGGGATCCATCCCGATCCCGCACCCCCAGGGATCCATCCGGTCCCGCACCCCCGGGGATACATCCCGATCCCGCACCCACGGGGATCCATCCCGATCCCGCACCCACGGGGATCCATCCCGATCCCGCACCCACAGGGATCCATCGGATCCCGCATCCACAGGGATCCATCCCGATCCCGCATCCACAGGGATCCATCCCATCCCGCACCCACGTCCGGCTGCCAGGGCCGGCTCTGGCCGGGACACAGAGCCATGGGATGCTCACTGCCAGCAGGGGAAGCGGGGACAGGGACGTGCGAGGGGAAGGGTCTGGGCAGCCAGAGGGCTCTGTGCTTGATGAAAGGCTCCAGGGGCACGTTTGTCCCAGCGTCAGAATTGGGACCTTTCTGTGAATCCTCGTCCATGGCTGCATTATTTGGTCATTAATTTCCAGTGGGTATATATTAAGTGGTATTATATAAGTATATATTAAGATATATTAATTATACCCACTGAGGGAGACCTCCCCTGCCATTTAGGAGGTGGAATGAGGGGGTCAGGGCTGTTCCCTCCATCCCAAGACAGTGGCTGGGAGGATGCTCAGCAGGATTTAGGAGCAGGAGCATCCCCCTGAGCCTGTGCATGGGCAGCAGTAGGAATGGAAACCCCCCCACCCCAGCAGTGCTGGACCTGTCCCCTGCCATCCTCAAGCCCCAGGTATAACTTCACAAACAGCCTTTGCTCTTCATGGCACAATCTGGGTCTTTGTCTCATTTTGCAACACGTGAAAAACAAAAATACCTGTCGCATCACAGCAAAAGGCACAAGCCCAGAGGTGCCTGAAATCCCTAATTGTGATAACTTCCCATAGCCCAAGCCCAGACTGGTGGGGATTAAAGTGAACCAGTGGAGCAGAGAGGCAGAAGGGAGGTACCAGCCCTGCTGGGAGTGCAGTGTGCTGAAGCAGGAGCACAGGGTGATGCTCAGCACCCCACCGACCCCATCGAGACCCCACCGACCCCACCTCGCTGCTCCCAGGCTCTTTGGGGCTGGTTTGGGCTGCCCCTCTGCCAGCCTGCCCGTGGCCAGCACCCAGCAGTGGATGAAGCAGAAAAAGCGTTCACAACATTAATGAAAGCTCTGACAAAGGGAAGCGAGGGGAACTATTGTCTCCTTGGCCTTCTCCTCACAGCGTCTGCGTGTAATGAGACTTTTGGTTATGCTTGTGGCTTCTGTGACAAAGCTGTGATTTAAGGGCTGTCTGTTCCGAGGCAGAGCTGCTCACACAGGCCAAAGTGCTGGTGAGTAATATTTTACCACAAATTGTTGTAACTGGAGCTCGACGACTGCAGTAGGAGGTGGGGGGGGGGGGGATTGTATTTGATTTATTAGATGACTTAGTGCAATTTGCAGAGCAAGCTTTGTGCTAGTGTGGCCGTGGATTTGCAAGTCCAGCAAGTAAAAGTCCATGGGAATGGGAGTGGGGAGGGGAAAACTCCGTGGTTTGCAGCCACGATGTCCAGAGGAGGAGGGCTGGATGTGTGGCTGCCAGCCAGCTTTGGGGACCAGCAGCAGCTGGGGATGCCCAGGAGCCCTCCCTGTGTGTGTCCAGTGGGAACCATGGAACCACAGAATGGAACCATTAAGGTTGGAAAAGATGCCCAAAATCGAGTCCAACCTTTGATCAAACACCACCTTATCAACTAAACCAGAGCTCTGAGTGCCACGTCCTGGTGTTCCTTGGATACCTCCGAGGGATGGGCACTCCAAATTTCCCTGGGCACCCCCTTCCCGTGCCTGACCACCCTCTCCATGGGGTAATTCTTCCTGAATTTCTCCCTGCAGGCTCCTGCCTTTTAGCATGGCCATCGTGTGTAAAACAACCCCTCAGGACAGGCAGTGCTTGCTCCCTCTGCCTTCAAACCCAGCCAGAAGTTCAAGGGATGCTTTCCCAAACCCGGGGCTTTTCCCAAACCCGACCTGTGAAGCATCTTTAGGATGAGTTTTGAGGAGGAAGGAGCTGTGGAGGGCAGGCTGCTGCTGGGCTTGCATCACTGTGAGAATTCAGGTCATGTTTACTACAGGCAGCTGGAACACGATGATCTCAGATGGTAACAAGTAACATCTGAGGGGACAGCGTTAAAACATTCAAGCTGTTTTGTAAGCACCTACTTTGCTTTCTTTCCAAGCCCAGTTTGGCTATCTGCAAGGACCCATTTGTCCCCTTTAAGAACCGGGTGTCATCTTGTTGAAATAAGTGGAAAAGAACAAGAAGTTCCCCTTCCATTTAATTTCAAGTGGAAAAATGGCTTTGTCTTTTTTTTTTTTGTTTGGTTGGTTCTGTGTTGTTTTTTTTATTTTTTTGTTTTTTGTTTTTTTTTTAAAGTCCCCAAAACAACAAACAAAGCCCCCCAGTGCAGCTTCTTTTCTGCTTCAGCAAGGACAGATACCTACGGTCTGAGGGCTCCTGGCCTCTTGCAAGCTGACCTTGTGTAATTTCCTCTATTTACATTTGGCCAGCACTGGCCTCATTGACTACAAGAGTTTATACAGCCCCTTTGGAGAGGAATACCAAGGATTGCTGAGGCACGTCCTGCCCCACATTCTCCTGTTTACTGTGCTGTTAAATAGATGTACAGTGCTACTGAATAAATATGTCCTTATCCTATTTTGTTCTGGCTTTAATGCCTTTGTACCAGGATAACAGAGAAGGTCACAGGCAATTAATTTAAACCAGGTGGGAAAAACGACTCTTTAAAATCTCTCTGTTCAGGGAGACATCTGATAGTGCTCCGGTTAAATGTGCTTTTATTTACGTGAACTGTGTGCAGGCTTTGTAACGCCTTTTTTTTGGGGGGTGGGGGGGTTTGAGGAAACTGTTGCAAATAATGTTTGTTCACTGCTGTAAACCAGCCAGGGTGGAATTTGGAGGCAGATTATCTTCCCTGGACTTTGGTGCTGGCGTCCAAGCCTGCTCTGCTCGCATGCACTGCTCACCTCTGCTCCGGGATTTTTGCAACCAGAATGGAAACAGCTTGTTCTGAACACACACACATCAGTGTCGTGATGATTCCCTCGGCAAGCAGAGCGTTTATTTGCAATCCTAATGCATGCAGTGGTATTTGGGACGTGGCAGCGCTGCTGCTCGTAGGGTTTGGGCATGCTGGGCAGCGTGAGCAGGGAAGGGCGTATCAAGAAATTAGGTTTGAGGGAGAGAAAATTGCTCTAATCTGCTATTTAGTGGCTTTTGGGTTGGTTGTTTTTTGTTTGGTTGTTTTTTTTCTTTTTTAAGTGGATTTTTCTGATAGGCGAGTTGCTCAGCCTGGCACGGAGGAAGCATTCAGCAATTCAGGCATGATAAAATAATTACATGATTGCGTGCTCCAGGAAGACACGAGGGGAACGCTCCCAAGTGCCACCAGCTCAGGCAGCACTCAGGAGAAGAAAAGGCTCCCTCTTAATCAGGGCTCCCGGGGTGAGGGTTTACAAGAGCACCCTTGAGGTCAGCACTAATCCACAGCTTGCAGGCAGCTCATTTTAAGGAGCTGGGATTGCCCAACTTGCAGGGAAAGCCACTTCAGGCTGGAGGAGTGGCATGTGACAGCTTCCCACAATAAACCCCGGGATGGAGAAGAGGGAGAGGAGAAGTTTCTTCACCGTGTTTATTACTAAAAAAAAAAAAAAAAAAAGGGGGGGGGGGAAGAAAATAGAGGAGAGAAAAAAAAACCAAAAAAAAAAGAAAAAGTTTATTGCAAATCTCAGTGTTTAAGAGTATTTCCAGAGTCCACTCGGTAACGTTACAAACGAATCAGTAAATCCTGCTTGTGCTGTGCCCTCACACACACACACTCACCACTCGCTCCCCTGCTCGTGCTGCCACGCAGACAGAACAGAAACGGACTGTGAGGTCAGTGACAAACGGAGTATTTGATCTGTATTGGAAACTTGGTTAAAATAAAAAAAAAAAACAAAACCAACCAAACTAAATACAGTAGAACCTCGCGAATCTGCAGAACAGGGAGCTTCCACACACACGCAAAACCTGGAGGCCTTATTCCACTTCCAAGCAGTTGTAATAGCAAAGTGCTGTAGTGAGGTCTCGTATCACAAAGACTTCAATAACCTTACAAGGATAGGCTACAGAACATTTACCAAAAACGCTTGAAGTATCATAAATTAACAATAAATTAAAAGTACATCGTAATGCAACGTGGTTATTTGTTCACTGATCACTGGTTCACACAACTCTAGTTCTCTGTAAGGGATCTTCCAGTCCTGGGTGCAATGCAGCGAGGTTCTGCTGGCCGTGATAAAGTGCTGAGGCAGAGGAAGGACACGAGACCGCAGGTCCCGGGCAGTGAGGATGAATTGCTCCAGCCACTTGGTTGCAAGAGTGCCTGTTTCTTCTTTTTTTTTTTTTTTTTTTTTTTTTTTTTTTTTTTTTTTTTTTTTTTTTTTTTTAATCTTTTTAAATTTTTTTTTTTGGACATCTAAGACAGAAAAAACAAATCAAGCACCTTCCCAAAAAAAGAGGTTGTTCTTTTTTCTTTTGCAGATTGTCCCACGTTTCTATGGCTGGTAAAACACAGACAGGTCAGCGTAGCAGTTAATGGATGATGACACTTCCACTTAAGTACACAGAAATGGTGGTTTGGAGTATTTTTTTTTTTTCCCCCAAACCAGAACAGACTTGTTTGATTTGTCCCCCTGAGTTGCCTAGAGGCGAGAAGATGCATATAGGTGGGGTAAGCAAGCTCGTGCCACTGCGAGCAGGAATCTCTCCTGTTAAGACTGAATGAACAGCTCAAACGTTGTCTTTTACCCTTCCCTTCGTGCACAGGCTCCACTTCATTTCTCACTGAAGTCAGCAGCAAGAAATAAAAAAAGCCCCTTGCTGACTTGAGGGGAGAGCTGGGGAAGGGGGTGCAGCTCAGCCCCAGCACCCCGTGGCTGGCAGGGGTGGGGAGCAGTGAGAGGGGAAGGTCCTGGGGGGGCCACAGGCAGCTGGGGCTGCAGCAGAGATTTCCTGGTGCACCTGTGAGCCAAGGTTTCGGGTACATTAAGACATCCTGGGCCAAATCCTCCCTGCGGGGTGGGCTGGTTCTGGCAGCTGTGCCAGGTCCGTGGCACCAGCTGAGCCTTTTTCCATGGAAAGAGATGCTGGATCTGTAGTTACTTGTTTTTGTTTTTTTAAAAATAACTGGGTTACTTAAGACTTACCTATTAAAAACAGCTACACTTTATGCTGTAAGAGTCATTTTCCCAACAATTTCACAAGCAATACAAGATAGGCATTGAAGAGATTGATGTAAAGACAGCTTTCCGTTATGCAGAAGATCATTTTTCCTCTCCAGTTATTTAAGCTAACGTCCTTTAACAATCTCAGAATAAATTAATAAATACTAGTTAAATTAGAAACAGTACATCAGGTCTGACTATTGACAGAAAACAGTTCTAAGGATCCCAGTTAGGAGAAGAAAAATGATCTTATGAAATATGTGCAGTAATAACTGGCCATAAAGACACAGGGAGCCTTTGATTTCCCAGCATTTGTGACATTCAAGTTAAGATCATTAGCAATGGTTTCTAATTGTCAGCTACCTAGCCTAGCCTCCTCCTCCTCCAAGCTAAAAAGTGAGTCTGTATCCCTCCAGAAGAAGATTCAGTTGGCTACTGGTGGTGTATGAAATGCTCCAGTTCATATCATTGGGTCTGTGTGGAATTTGTGGTAGGGGATGGCTGACAGTCAGAGGCTGAGCTGCTTCTGCTGTTGCTGTTGTCAGTATTGATGGGATCAGTTGGAATTTTACCTATGCTTGTTATCAGGAAAGCAAGTGTGCATCACATCTTCATGCTAGAAAGAAGTTGTTCTTATGTGACTATCCGTATTTTCTATGGAGCTTTCCATTGTTGGTTAAAAAAGTTCTGTCTAATATTTAAAATAAAAATGGTTGGTAGCAACTGTTCACATTTAAAATTTCACATTCCCTTTAGAATGGACTTTTAAAACGTGGAGCAGAGCTGACATTTCCCCCAGCCTTACACTGAGTACATTAGATGGAGAAGGAACAGGGTTTTTTATACCACGCTGTCGGAGCCTTTTCCTGAATTTTCTGCTTTTCCAATATCCATGTCTATAAAGTCATCTGGTAGTTCTGGTGCTGGCCCTGCCGTGCTCTCCTCCACCTGCTGCTGCTGCTGCTCTCGGTGGTGGTGGTGGCACAGCCCAGTCTTGCACGGCCTCACCAGGGCCAGAAACACGGCCCCCAGGACCATGCCAGCAGCACAGGAGTAGAAGGCTGAGCTGTAGTTCTTTGTCGTATCCACTAAGACACCTAGAAAAAAAAACATTTACAGCAGTTAGCCACAGCTCTCTCCCCCCCTGCCCTGCTCTCCCCTCCTGTAGGGTTTTAATCTGCATTTTATCTGCATTCAAAACTCGGTGACAATGTGATGCCACGTTAGAAAAGTAAATCCATTGTGTTCTGGGGTACACAGTGTCATGTTCTGGCGAGGCAGAAGCCCCTGGGCACCGCAGGGATGCTGAGCCCGAGATGCAGCAGGCATCTGTTTGTTGTGCCAGACTTCACCTTCCTGCAGTGCGTGGCACAGGCACAGCGAGAGGGATTCGCCTCTGCTTGTGCCTGAAGTGATGCCAGGTTTGGGTTTCTAACAGGAGCAGGGTAGCACTGCAGTATTTCCCTTCCCTCTGAGGTTCCTCAGTGCCTCATCCGTGGGACTCTGCAGAGCTGCATTGCAGTCTTCTGGCTCTGGGAGACTCCCAGTAGTGTTTGCAGGGATTTTAGGGGAGTGCTGTGATTAGTGCTGCCAGAATACCTTCTAGACAGGCATCAGCACCAACAGCTGCCAAACATCTCCACAACAAAATCAAGACCCGAGTTTGTGTTACCTGCAAGGGGTGGTCCAGCCAACCCAGCTAAGCTTTGAATGAAGACGTAGACTCCAGCTGCAGAGGACATCCTCTCGATGCCAACCACGTCGTCCTCAGCCAGGAGGGGAATATGTGTGCCCGCCACGGTGCCGAGCATGAACCCAAAATAAACGCTACATATCATCAAGCCCCAGAATCCAGAGGCAAAGGGGAAGGCAACCAGCGCTACCGACAGCAGGATGACACAGATGAGCTCGATGTAGATCTTGCGGATCGGCTTCTTGTTGAGAACCCAGCCTGCAAAAATCCTGCCAAAGACCTCGGCGATGGCCATGGCTGACAGGATGTAGGCAGAGTGGTCTTTGCCGATGCCCAGGCTGCGGCTCAGGGGGATGATGTAGAGGGAGGGAGCGAAGAAGCCCAGGGTTGCAAACAGGCCAAAGAATGCATAACAGATAAAGCTATAGTCTCTCATCACAGAGAAGTCCAGTAGTTTGGTTTTTGGTTCTGGAGGGGTGCTGTTATTTTCTACGGGATTCTGTCCGTGTTGCTTTGGTTCTTCACTTTTCGGCTCTGCTTTGGTTTTTCCAGGCACATTGCTGGGTGAGGTAGTTATATCGACTCCTGAGTCTATGGACTCTATTGAGGTGCATGTTTGCTCGTTTTCAAGCATGTACTTTGTCTCCGTGGACTCCTCTGGAGGCTGTGCTTTCGCTTCTTCCTGCTCTCTGATGACGATGGGGCGCAGCAGCGATCCGCAGGCGGTGATGCCAAGCTGCAGCACCCCGACAGAAAGCATGCTGTACCTCCAGCCAATCTGCTCCTTCAGGGCCGTGATTGCTGAGGGGAGAGGAGAAGTGTAACTGGGAAAGCCGGTAGTTACACCAAGGAATTGAATTTACAGCCAGGGAAGGGACTGGAGATTCCACTGGAGGGTTCCAGGCACTTCTCAAAAATGCTGAGCAGGGGTCCCTCCTACCCACGGGTCTGGCACCCACATTCCTCCCCTCTGCTGCAGCACACAGAAGCTAAAAGCTGTGTTTACCACCTGGCTAGCAGATGCCACCCTCTAGGTAGCCTCTTTTGAGGTCTCAGCAAGTTTAGGGACAAAGGGGGTATTGTTTTTAGTGAAGGAGAACAAACTCAGTGCGTGAGTTTCCTTTCTCAGCTGCCCCCACCCTGAAACCAACTAGCAGAGGAAGTCTCTTAGTTCTGCTCAAAGGTGCACATCACTGCTTAATTACCAGCCTTCAATTGCACCCAAAGCAGCTTTGCAGTGGGTATTAGCCCAGAGCACAGCAGACCACATAAACCTCCAAGGGCAGGAGGTGACAGGGCCGTGATGCCTGGGGACAGGTCCCCAAAAGGCTGGAGCACTTTGGCAGCCGGTGCTGAGCTCAAGCCCAGTAACCTTTAGGAGCAGTTCTGTGCACTGTGTGTGTTTTAAATAGCTGAAGTTTCTCGGGCTTATTTTTAGCCTGCCAGATCTATATAGGGAGCCCGGCGGGCTGAGTATCAGCCAGGCATGTCCTGCCCTGGCACATGGCACTGGGGGGGCTCGGGCAGTGTCACACTCGTCCCCAGGACTGCTTGTCACTCTGCCTGCTGGGTGCCACGGGCATGTGAGCAACCACTTGTGGGCACCGACTTAGCCTCTGGCTGTTTGCCTGGGGAAGGGATGGCAGCAGCTTTGTGTTTTTGGCACGTGGGCACCGTACCTGGTGCGAAGGAGAAGACAGCGAAACATTCCCCTGTCGATGCCACCGCTGTGACCAGCGAGCGCCTTTTGTCAAAATACTGAGATAAAATGGTGACAGTCGGGAGGAAGGAGAGGCAGTATCCCAGGCCTGTGAATAAATGCCAAAAATTGCCATAACAACAAGTAAAGGAGGGGGAAACACCGATGCAAGAACACGTTAAGTCGGCTTTCCCGGTGGTCATTACAGTATCATTTCGGCCAACTCAGCAAGTCACCCTGGAAGAAAATCATTGGGGAAACCAGAATGTTATTTTTTTGTAAATTGGAGGAGGGAAAGAAAAGAAAAAAAAAAAAAAAGAAAAAAGGAAAGTAAAAACCCACACCAAAAGACCCAGCCTCCCAAACCTACTAGATAATGCTTCTGCTCCCAAACAGCCAGCGGGGTCCACCTTGAGGACCTCATCTGCTTAAAGTATTTGAGCCTGTAGCAAGTGTTTCCCTAAGCAAGGCAAGCTCCTGGCCATAGACATGAACAGGACGCTCAGGCCAGGCTGGAGAGGGGAGAAAGTAGCAGGAGAAGAAACCAGAGACAGAGACAGTGTTAGAGGATTTGATCCCGGGCGCAGCTTTGGCTCCCCCAGCAATCCCAGCCCATCAGAAGCGCTCGGTGTGAGCGCAGGGCTGACTCCAGGCTGGTGCCCGGGCTGGGACAGGGCAGAAAGCCAAGCCTGGGGCTCATCCCCGCTGCGGGATCAGCTCAGGAGGGGCAGCAGCACCAAGCACACCCCGTGGCTGGAGGGAGGGAGCGCAGAGCGTGGCAGGCAGGGGGCAGGACGGGCACTCACCGGAGACAATGCCGATGGTGATGTACATGTCCACCACGCTGCGGGCGAAGGACGCGATGACCATGCCGGCACTGACCAGCAGCCCCCCGGCCATCACCACCAGGCGGTGGCCGAAGCGGTTGCTGAGGACCGTGGACAGAGGAGCTGGAGAGGGAGAAAGCCGTGGTCAACACCCACCTCAACAACTTCACAGCCGCCATCTCCTGCAGAGGTTCTTGTCGTGCTCCTGCCCGGGTCCCCGCGAGGTGCCACCTCCCTGCACAGCACAGCACCACCCTGGAGCCACCCTCGGAGCACTGCACAGCTCACAGCATTTAGGACATGCTAAAAAATCACCAGAACAGACTTTAAGACGAGCACGTGGAAGCCTGGGACAAATCTCCAACCACATGCTCAGACACCACTAGATTTCAACAAGGCTCAAATTATTTCTAATCCTATTTACTGCAGAGTGAAAAGGCTTGAAAACTGGTTTAGGTTTGAAAACTGTGGTTTTTGCCCCTTGCTGGTGAGACCTGAACAACTGGATCAGGCTCAGTGACACGGACCGTGTCCCTGCTCCACCCACGGACACAAGTTGGGACTGCCAGGTTGAGACAGACATTTCTTGAGGAGCAGTTGAGGAGCAGCCTCTGAGCTTTATGGCCGTGATTTAATTTATAATGGAGCCATTAGAGGCACGAAAGTCACAGGTGCCAGGTCCTTGCATGCTGAGTCAGCAGCACCGCTGCCCCTTGCACCTGCACCGAGCGCCAGCTCCTCTTACCTGTGAAAGTCTGTACAAACACACATATGGATATTATCCAGGATATCCTGCTGTTGGTTTCGTCAAAGCTTTCCATCAGGTCGTTAAAGAAGACTCCAAATGATTTTATGATGCCGTATGTCAGGGCTTCCACAACAAAGAACGCAAAAGCGACTGTCCAGCCCCATCCTCCGTCAGGCACTTTAGTATAAACGTTTGCAGAGGTGCACGGCATCTTTACAGCTTTGACCGTCATTTTGGATCTGGGAAAAGAGGGGAGAGGGAGCCAGGCATTATTTTAAGCTGAATTTTGCTGGAAGAGGCACATTCTGGGAGCTGTAGCACCCCCTAAGGCACCGTGAGCCGGACCCTGTGCTGCTGTGAGGGATTAAGTGTGAGAGTTGGGCTGATGTTTCTGCCTCTGTCCCTCCGTGGGCTCCTTCCTGAGCCCAGCAGCAGAAACTCTCGGCTCAGCAGCCGGGCGAGCTGTTCCCAGCAGCCAAGCCCGGGAGCCTGGAGCTGTCATCTGTGTGTCGGTGCATGGGGGCGGATGGATGCAGTTCGTGAAAGATCCACCGCGGAGCCAAGCGCGGGCTGGGCTGGTGGAGCTGCAGGAACCCCGGGCCACCCATCCTCCCCAGCCTGGCTGTCCCCAAAATGGCAGCTCTAGGCTGCCCACACCTCAAAACAGGGAGTGGGGACACCTCGGTTGCCACCAGCTCCCCTGCAGCCCTTGGCACCACTGCCACCCCCCAGGGCACGGGGGGCTGGATGGGGTCACCCCATAAGGCATGGGGTGTCCTCAGCCCTGCCCAGTGTCACCCAGGGCTCTTCTGGGGGTGGCTTTGGTCCCACATGAAGGTCCCCAGCACTGCCACCACTGCACAGGGGGGACAGCGCAGGTGTCACAGTCGGGGGAGGACACTCTGCTGGGGTCACTGCCACACCCGCACAGGGGGGACAGTGTCAGGGTTACAGTCCTGGCCTCACTGCCACACCTGTACGGGAGTCTGCTGTGCCAGGGTCAGCACCACACCTGTGCAGGGGGACACTGCCGGGGTCACTGTCACACCTGCATGGGGGGAGCACTGAGCCGAGGCCACTGCACCACCACAGCTGTGCAGGGGGACAGTGACAGGATCACCTGCACTGGGGATCTGTCCTGGGCTCACTGTCACACCTGCAGGGGGGTCAGCTGTGCCATGGTCACTGCCACACCTGTGCAGGGGGACAGTGCTGGGGTCACTGCCACACCTGCAGGAGGGTCAGCTGTGCCATGGTCACTGCCACACCTGTGCAGGGGGACAGTGCTGGGGTCACCGCCACACCTGTGCAGCGGGACAGTGCTGGGGTCACCGGCACAGCCGCGTGTGGGGTGCCAGTGCCAGAGTGGCCACTGCAGGACAGAGCGCGGGGTCAGCCCCGGGTGGCGCTGGGTCCCCGCAGCCGGCCCGGGCTGGCAGCGAGCGGTGGCCGTGGGCTACCGCCCCTTGTGCCGCCCCGTCCCGCCCGGACCTGCGGCTCGGGCCGTGCGCTCCCCCCCGCGCCGCCGTCCCCGGCAGTCACCACCGAGGCATTTCCCTCCTCCATTTTAGACTCGGCTCCTCGGCACCACCGCGTTCAGGGCACGGAGAGCCCGGGCGAGCCCGGCCGAGCCGCCCCAGCCCACCGCGGAACTTCGCACGGCGGAGCAGGCGAGTGCGCGGCACCGGCCCCGCGGCGGCTCGGCCGAGCTGCGAACCCACCCGAGGGGTCCCCGAGAGGGGCAGGGGGGGTCCCCGGGCCCCGCAGCCCCTCCTGCGGTGCCGCATGGCGAGTGCGCGGCTCCCGGGGGATCCTCTCGGCCAGGGATGGAGCGAGGCGTGGGCTCCTGCATCCCTGCGGTGCTGCCGCTGCTGCAGCCGGGCAGGGCGAGGGGCACGGGCGGGACCCCCGAAGTTTGTGGGAAGTGCCTGGAGACCCCTCCCGAGAGAGAGGGGACGGGGCTGCCATGAATTCCTGTGTCACTGCACGGGGAATAGGGGGGAAAAAGCAGATCAGGAGGAAGCACGCTTAGGGAACAGTAAAAAGAAAAAAAAATAAGGAAAGGAAAAACAACCCAGCGAAACGGCAAACCTAGGCGTATGTTTTGTGCATTTAAAGATTAAAAGAAATAATGATGGCGGGGGAAAAAATTGAAGAAGCCGGAGCGCAGGGGCCCGGCGTGGCCCCCCCTTCCCTGCATCACTTTCCCAACATTTCAGCCCTGATTCCTGCATCGCCGGGGCCGCGGGCTAAAAATACAGGGATGCAGGCGAAGGGGAGGTGGGGAAGGAAAACGCTGGAAAAATGAAAAAATATTGTTAAAAAGCGCCCCAAAAGAGTGGGGGAAAAAAAAAAAAAAAAAACATAAAAAAGGGAAACAAAGCCCTCCCCCACCCAGCTCCCCCGGAATCCCCGGGCGGGAGCCCCCACTCACCCGGTGCTGCGGCGGGGTCAGGGGCTGCCCATGGCCCGGGAGGGCGAGCGGGCGACCCTCGGCGAGGAGGCGGCCCCGCTGCCCGCCGGCCTCCGGCCGCTGCTGCTCCCGCTGCCCGCGGCGGCGGCTGCTGCTGCTCGGTGCTCGCTCGCAGCCCTTTTATACCGGCTGGAGCCGGTCTCCGCCGGCGGCTCCGCAGCGCCCATGTGCGCGGCGCCGGGCCCGGCTCGCCCAGCGGCGGCACCGCGTGTGCGGGAGGGGCGGTGCAGCGGCCGGAGCGGGGCGGCCCCGCGGGGCTCCCGCAGCCCCCCGGCAGCCCCCCCTGAACCGCACCTGCCCCGCACGGGCCGCTCCGGCAGGTGCCGGGCTGCCCCCGCCCCAGCGGGGTCCGGAGCATCCCCGGGATGCGGTGCCTGGAGCATCCCCGCGCTGGGCTCGCAGGGGGTGCGGGTGGGATGGGGTGGGATGGGGTAGGATGCAGGTGGAATAGGGTGGGATGCGGGTGGGATAGGGTGGGATGAGGTGAGATGGGGTGGGATGCGGGTGGGATGGAGTAGGATGGTGTGGGATGCAGGTGGGATGGGGTAGGATGGGTAGGATGGTGTGGGATGGGGTAGGATGGGATGGGATGGAGTAGGATGGGGTGGGATGGGGTAGGATGCAGGTGGGATGGGATGCGGGTTGGATGGGATGGGATGGGGTAGGATGCCGGTGGGATGCGGGAATCTCTCCCACTCACGGTGCTGGTTCTAGGGGTGGCACAGAGTGTTTGTCCCCTCCGAGCTTTGGGTTCTGTGTTAGGGGAAATATGCCCTTTGTATTTTTCAGGACAAAACATCTCCTTTAGCTGCATTTCTAGGGAAAAAGCGTCGCTCTTGGTTGTATTTTTAGGGGAACCCTGTCCCTTAGCTGTCCCTTAGCTGTATTTTTATGGAAAACATCTCCTTTAGTTGCATTCCTAGGGAAAAACATATCCGTCACATTTTTTAGGGGAAACTGTCTCTGTCAGTTGCATCTCCCTTGGCTGTATTTTTTTGGGGAAATCATCTCCTTTAGCTGAACTTTTAGGGAAAAATGTGCCCTTTTGTTGCATTTTTAGGGAAAAACATCTCACTTAGTTGCATTTTTTTAGGGAAAAACCTGTCCCTTGGTTGAATTCTAAGGGGAAGATGTTTCCATTGGTTGCATTTCTAGGGGAAGCCAACTTAGTTGCATTTTTAAGGGAGAACATGTCCTTTATGTAGGAAGCTTAAAAAGTAGGGATTTGTGAGTCAAGCAAAGCAGGACAGACCGACTCACCACCTACAGGGATGGAGAGGGAGGGAGCAGGGGTGCAGTTGTCCTAAAATCACAGAACATCCTGAGCTGGAAGGGATCATTGAGTCCAACCCCTAGCCCTGTACAGACACCCCAAAAATCCCACACTGTCCTTGAGAGCATTGTCCAAACTCTCTTGGAGCTCTGGCAGTCTCAGCTCACTGCTGCATCCTGCTCCTGTTCTCTGCTGGGCACAGATGGATGCTGCCAGGAGAATTTGGAATCTTGCATCATTCTTTGTGACTTGTGGGCCAGTGACTTCTGCCTGCAGGGAAGAGCAGAGGGGTCAGAGTGGGTGGGTGGCCACACCTCTCCTCACCTGCCCTCCTGGGATCTGCCCCCTATGCTGGCCCAGGACCCCACCACAGTGTGCTGGGTTAATGTGGAACCTGCTGGTCCTGGTTCATACCCCTGGAAAAAGGTTAAAATGTTCCTGCACTGCAAGGGCTGCTGGGTTTGGTTTGGCCAGAGTTCCTTCTGCTGCTTTTCCCCTCTGCTGCTTTTCCCTTCCCTTGCCCCAGTGGGATTGCTGGTGGGACAACACAGCCAAGGGCAGCAGGTAGTTGGGGCAAAATTCTCCAGATTCCCCAAAATGAGGCAAATGGTTGCTTTTCCTCAGGAACTTTGGGAAAGCAGCTGCTGGTTTCTCTTGGCAATGCTGCCCCAACAGCTGCTGCTTCCAGCAAGAGCTGGTGCTCTCAGAGAGGTTTCAGCAGCTTCACTCCTCACAGTCCCCTCCTGAACAAGTTGAAATCCTTCAGAAATCCATCAGAAATCCATCAGAAATCCATCAGAAATCCATCAGAAATCTGGGTACTCAGCCATGAGAGTGCTCCCTGTGTATCCTTGAGAGCCTCCTATCTCCCTGTGCCTTAGGAAAACCCTTTCCTCTGAGGGAACCTTTGAGGTGGGCGTCCTTTATCCCTGCCCTGCCTTTCAGGGATACAGATAAAGGGTGAGCACCCCTCTGGCCTTGCAGAGCCAATATCCCGTTATACAAATTTTTCCTTGGGAATGGGTCGCCCTCCCCGTGCTGAAATTCTTCCTGGTAGCGACAGTGGTTGTGGGACAACAAAAGAGGTTTATGCCTCCAGGGGAGGAATAGGAATGCAAATATCTTTGGCATGAAAAACCCAAAGCGATTTTCTTCTTGGTATTTCTTGTCAGTACTTTGCATCTGTCTCTGCCTCACCTTGCCATTCCTTTCCTTTGGGCTCTCCAAGAGCAATAAGGCTTTGGGGAGCCATGGGGGCTGCAGGGGCCCTGTGGGGGGACAGGGATGGTGGCTGCAGCCTCTCCAACCCAGAGCCTCCCAGCCCCACTGTAAAACCCTTTCCCCCCATGTTTTTTTGCCCACTTTGGGGAGATTTCCCTGCTGCTTGGCTTGGCTGGGATCCTTTTCCCTGGCACATCCATTGTGGGTCTGTCCCGTGCCTGGCAGCGCTTGCACCAGGACGTGCCTCTTCATCATCCCAGGGTCTCCGGCAGCATGGCTGAGTTTTTGAGGGCTCTGTAATCCACAGGGAAGCAGAGCAAGCGTCCTGTCTGTGGGCATAAATCAGCCAGGAGCTGGAAAACAGGGCGGGGAGAGCAGGGGAGCGCGGGCCCCTGTGCTGAGCCGCCGGATGGCTCAGGGACTTCCAGCTCATTTATTCTGTTGGGGTTTGCCCAGCCCTGCTCGGCATGTGAAATGTTTTCTCTGAAAGACCCAGCAGTGAGATGGGTGAAAAACATTCTCCTGTCCCAGGAGCTGGCAGAAATCCTGGTAAATCTGCAGAAGTATGTTTTTGTCGGTGCTGCTTATCCTGTGAGGAGAACTAGTATAAACTATTCCAGTAGAAAACCTTTTCCTGGAATAAAGTCCTGACTGTGTTCAGAGCATTGTCAGGATGGTTGTGCTGGGAATGGAGCTTTGCTGGTAAACATGTCAGCACTGGGGAGGCCCAAAGGGCAGGCACTGAGCTCTTGCCCCTCTGCCCCACGGGCAGACCCCTCACCAGGTACCTGCTGCCCTTCTCTGCTCAAATCAAAATCTCCGTAATCTTAAATTGAAAACAAAACATAGATTTATTTTTCTGCCCCTCGAAAGCCTGTCTGCCCTGCCATCCATCCCCTCCAGGCTGTGGCTGGACATTCCCCAATGGGGTCAGCACCAAGAGCCTCACCATCGGATATGTCCCCATCCCATGTCACTCAGCAGCTGTGGGGCCAGCACAGCCTGAGCCATCACTTCTGCTTGCCTGCCTCAGTTTCCCTGACCCCAGCTGGCACAAGGAGCTCCTGGAGTTGTGCTGGATAACAGCAGGTACCCACTCTGGTTTGAATTTCTCATCCCTTGCTGTGTCATTTTCTCTCTGCTCCTCGTGGCCAGGATGGGGATCCTGCTGGGACTTTGAGCAGGGCCACTGGGTGGGTTTGGGCTGGAGATCAGAGCTGGGGCAGCCTGGGTGGGTTGTGAGCCCTGGCAGCTGGCGGGGGGTAGCTCAGCACAGCTGGGTGTGCTTCAAAGGGCGTCAGGTTTTTCTGGGCTGCAGCCACTGCTTTGCTCTCCAGGCAGGCGTGAAAATGTGAAAGAATGTGAAAAATGTGAAAATGATCGTGCTGGCCCCAAGATTTGTAAACTTTCTGGTTAATGTGTAATAAATACATGACACAGATACTGCCAGTGCTGTGAGGGTGACCCCTCTGTGGTGGCACTGCCAGCAGTGACATCCCAGAGAGGCATCTCCCCTCCTCTACACCACGGCCAGCCCTGGGGTGTCCTGCTTGGAGAGGCTTTGGGGCTTTTCTAAACTGGTTTATCTGGTTTGCACGTCTCCAGGTTCCTGTGAGCTGCCTTGCCTGCCTTGCAAAAGGCAGGTTATTTATTTGTTCAGTCCTCCCCTGGTCCAAGGTGCGTGCTGCTTGGCTCAGGTGTGCCGTGTCCAGCTGAGGAGCACGCTGCCAGCGCCGGTTATGCAGAGCCCTTGGATGCTGGGAGTGATTCCTCCCAGGTAGCTCATCCAGCTGTAGCCACCTGTGCAGCATTTCCTGCTTGGCACAAGGCGAGGTGCAATGTTCCTGCCATAGGCAGCCTGGGGAATCTCTCCTGAGTCATTTTTATTTTTGCAAAATTAGCTGAAAGTTGGTGGGTCAGCTCAGGGTGGGTCTGGCTGCAGCAAAGCTGGAGGGGAGCAGAGGTGAACAGGGGCTGGGATTTATCCTCCCACCTCCTCCGGGGGACGTGCACAGCCCGGACTCACCCGGGAATTTGAGCTGAAAAGGGTCAGAGAGGGCTCAGAGTGCAGAGAAGTTGATGCCAAGGGATGGCCACACACTCATGGATGTGGTCTGGATGTGGACATTCCACGGGCTGTGTTCTACCTCACCTTCAAACGCCCTGTGAGCATCAGGGATCAGGAAGTTTTTTTGTCTGATGCTAATGCATGAATTTCAGCCTCAGATGACTTTCCCTGTAATTTAGGGAGGAGAGAGTGTCCTTTGAAAATTGTTTGGATTGTTTTTGTTAGCTGTGTCATCCTGGCATCCCTCCCCAGAGTAAATGGAAGGGACAGAATTTGTGGGTTCGGCTGCTTTGAGGTGTGCTGGGTTTTTCTGGGTGGCTGCAGGTGCAGCTGGGGGGTCCCTGGGGCACGCTGTGGGGTGCAGAGGCAGCCCTCAGGAGCAGGACTGGGATGATGCTGCTGGGAGGATGTTTGGAGAGGCTGGGATTTGGCACAGACACCACAGCTCAGCCTGGGAGGGGCTGGGAGCTGCTGGGTGCCAGCGGAGGTGCCAGAGGGCAGGATTAGGTGGTGTGTCTTCCCAGAAAGACTGAACACCAACTGCATGAGGAGTTGTTGCAACTTTGTTTTTGCACAAACCCCAGGTCTAGCACATGGTGATATCCTGCTCTATTGTGGAGATTCCCAGGCAGGGGACTGGGATTGGACTGGCATGGGACTGGGATGGGACTGGGATGGGACTGGGATGGGACTGGGATAGGATTGGGATGAAGTCCCCATCCATGAAGAAATCCAAGGAAATAGCAAAGGAATTTTTGTTTTGAAAGTAAAGGCAACTTAGCTGCCATCAAACGTGTCCAGAGACCTAATCTCGATTGTTGGAGCTGTGGGCATGCAGGAGGGTGCAGAACAGGACCTGAGCTCTTGGGCTTTGTTGGGGCAGGGCTGAGCAGCCTCTCCACAGCTGAGCCCCCTCCTGCAGCTCAGCCCCACCACCCACCACATCCCACCCCCATTAGCTGATGTACCGAGAGCCTCCAGGCTTTATAAATTAACACTCTGGGCTATGAATTATGAATGGAGCCATATCTCTGATCACTGCAATGCTCTGCTGACAGCCCAGGAGCTGCTGATCCAAGTGACAGCCCAAAGCTTTTAAAGATGTGAACAGCAAAACCTGGAAATAATTTACTTTGCAAGCTGCAAAACGCTTGGCCTACAGATGGGGCTCATCGTATTCCCTCTCCTGCCTGTTCCTGTCCTGTTCTTCTCTTTTGTTTCCAAGTATTGCCTTCTCTACTCTCCCTTTCTGTGTTAATGGATGTTGTCCTGCTTGGCTGTGTTGACCATCCCTTGGGAGCTGCATCCCTCATGCCACATTCCTGCCCCAAGATTGCTGGTACCCACTGGGGACAGCTGGGTCCTGCCATCCCCAGCCCTGGCACAGATCCCCACAGCATCCCCACAGCCAGTGCAGAGCTCCTGGTTCAGGACCCAGCGGGATTTTGGCAGATTTCTGCAGCTTCAGCCCCCTTTGGCCATAACTTTGTGTTCAAGACACTGTATTCCACAGCTCCATCTGCTCCGTGGAGCTCTGCCATCGGTCTTTGGAGGCTTTGTCCTTGAACCTTTCCATCTCTGGAGGCCAAATCCTGCCCTAAGCAGCTGGATGTACTCAATCCTGGGTATCCTGGGTTTTTTTGCCTTCTGGGTTTGTATGGATTCCTGCTTCCTCACCTCTGGGCAGCTCCCTCCAGCAGCCAGGCTGTGCTCCCTGCTCTGGCAGGAGTGGGGCAGAATTAATTTACACAATGGGCTTCAGACACTTGTCAGTTGTCACAAATGAAGGCAGGGCCCTGTATGTTCTCCTCGTGGGGCTGTGCCCCCTGCAGCACTCGGGAGAAAGCCCTTGGCAAGCCAGAGGGAGCAGGGGATGGCAGGAGCACAGGAACAATCCCAGCCTGAGCAGTGGGTGCAGGAAAAGGACCATTGTTATTCCCAGTCCTTTCCAGTCGAGCCATTGGGAACCAGGCAGCAGAACAACTTCAAAGTCAAAGGGTCTGGAGAAGGGGTTTTGCCCTGGTGTCTGGAGGTGTTTTGCCTCAGGCTGGGGTGCAGGAGCACTCCCCACATCCTGACTATTTTGTTCCCCTTGCACAGGGGATGCTCTGACGAGGTGAAGGATGGACTGACAGAGCCCCAGCAGTTTCTTCTCCACCCAGAGACCGAGGGGCTCATCCTGCAGGGAAAGAGCCATTTTTGGACACAAACATCCCTCTGGCTGCGGTGAGGGGAGAGGAGCTGCGAATCGAACCCGCTCCTGGAGGAGAAAATACCGCTTCGGTTTGGTGCCTAATTAGATATTTACCAGGAAGGAAGGAAAGATATAAATAGGGTGACAGTGACTTCAAAGGGTGTTTTTTGACTTCTAAGAATAACACCTTTGCTGGCGCCGATTTCGGGAATATCGGCTGCGCCTGGGTGTGAAAGGCGGAGGAGGTGTCGCAGCTCGGTCGGCAGCCAAGGGAGCAAACCCAGACCCCAGCCCCCGTCCAGCCCCACGGGACCAGCTGAGGAAGGGACAGAGCCCGTGGAAAACTCAGCTGCATCCACAGGGACTCAGCGGGGGCAGTTTGGGGAAGACTGCTGTGGCACCATGGGGACCCCATCCCTGTCCCCGTGGGACACCCTGGTGCTCACCCTGGTGCTGGTGGGACTCTGGGCTCCCTGTGTGGTGAGCAGGCAGCCCAACTTCATCGTCATCCTGGCTGATGATGTGGGCTGGGGGGATCTGGGTGCCAACTGGGCAGAGACAAAGGAGACCCCGCATTTGGACCAGTTGGCTGCCGAAGGAACCAGGTAAAGTCTGTCCCCCTTCCCTGCCCTCACCTGGTTACTGTGTCCTGCAGCACAGGGGAATTCAGCCCTGTGGGACTGGCAGGTGAAGGGATTTCATTGGTGTGAGTTTGGGTGCATGGGGAGGGCAGCCAGAGCCTGGTTCCATGGGGTGCAGGTCCATCCATCCCTGCTGGAACCTTCATCTCCCACTCCTCACCCTCGTCCCCAGAGCAAAAGGGGCAGAGTGCAGGGGAGCAGGGAGGGACAGGGCAGTGTTAGAGCACACAGGATCTTGTGGTCTTTTCGTTTTGCAGGTTTGTGGATTTCCACTCAGCTGCATCCACGTGCTCCCCATCCCGTGCCTCGCTGCTCACGGGGCGCCTGGGGGTGCGCAATGGGGTCACCCACAACTTCGCCATCAGCTCAATTGGGGGTCTCCCCCTCAACGAGACCACCCTGGCCGAGCTCCTGAGGGAGGCTGGGTACAGCACAGGGGCTATAGGTAATGCCCAGAGTGCCAGGGGGCTGGCAGGGGGTGGCAAAGGTGCCCTTGCAGAGGAGGTGCTTGGGTGAAACGCTGGAAGTGAAAGGAAAATCTGAAGGATCACGTGAGAGATAATTCACACATCCCCCTTGGATTTTGTAATGCCAAGCTTAAAATCTTCCTTCTCAATGGTGCTGCTGGAAATCCAGACTTCTCCATTTAATCTCTTATTGCTTTACCTCACCAGGAATGTGCTGGGTGTTCCTCAGCCAGCAGGGCCCTGCTCTGCTATCCTGCATCCCTCACCACAGGCAGTGCCACTGGCCTCGTGGCTTTGGGCAGCCTCCTGTCACTGTGTCACCCCTCAGCCAGCACAAACCCTTTGCACCTGCAGCTTCTGCTCTTGTGTTCATTATGCTGGCAGAAAATCCCTCTGTTTCTCCATTCCCCCCCAGTTTTTGCAGTTCTCCCTCTTGGATCAGTGTGTTTGGTGGGAGCAGGCACGTGCTGGAGGTCAGGGGATGAAGCTGGCTGTTGGGGAGGGGTGAGGAAGCCGTCTGCTCACAACACAAACATATGAAAGAGCCTTTTAAGGCTGCAAACAGTCACTTTGCACAGGCATGAGGTACCTTATGCATTTTGTCTGGGTTTTCTGCAAAAATAGACGGCATTCTGGAATTGCAGCCAGCACAAACAAGGAGCCTTTCTTGTAGCTTGATTAAAGCCCCCAGCACTGCAGGAACCTCGTGGGTGAGGGCTGCTTGTGGCCAGAGCTGTGTTACCCCTGCAATGATGTTCTGTGGCTTCCACGCAGGCAAGTGGCACCTGGGACACCACGGCCACCATCACCCCAACTCCCGCGGTAAGGGCTGTGCCAGGGGGATGGGCTGAGGGCCCTGTGGCCACCTGGACCCCACTGACCCCCTCTCTTGCCTCTCAGGCTTCGACTACTACTTTGGGATCCCCTACAGCCACGACATGGGCTGCACGGACAACCCTGGCTACAACCTGCCACCCTGCCCACCCTGCCCACAGCACAGCACTGCTGCCAGGTACGGGACAGGGGTTCCAGTGCTGGCACAGCCAGGTGAGTGTTTGCAGCATTGGGGCACAGGGGTTCCAGTGCTGGCGCAGCCAGGTGAGTGTTTGCAGCATTGGGACACAGGGATTCCAGTGCTGGCACAGTGAGGTGGGTGTTTGCAGCAGTGGGGCACAGGGATGCCCATACTGGCACAGCCAGGTGGGTGTTTGCAGCAGTGTCCCCAGCCCTGAGGGCTGCCCTTGGCTGTGGTCACCTCCCCTCACACTCTGTGTTCAGTTTCCCCCTTCAGGGTGCGGGTTGGGAGCTCCCCGTGCCATGGGGACATTGGCACTGCTCCCTTTATTTTCCCTTCCTCGGCTTGCTGGAAGCCAGGAGAGCAGCCAGGCTCCATTCCTGCTCTGGTGACAAGCCTGGGGTGGCTTTTCCCAGCAGGGTGGCGAGGAAGGATTGTTACACAGAGGTTGCCCTGCCTCTCTACGAGAACCTCACCATCATCCAGCAGCCCGTGGAGCTCGGCAGCCTGGCCAGGCGCTACGCAGAGGAGGCTGCAAGGTTCATCCAGAGGGCCAGGTGAGGGTCACCCACTGTCCCCTGTCTGTCCCCTTAGCTAGGAGAGCTCCTGGGTCACTGCAGGACTGCTTTGCATCGTGCTGGTGCAGTGCCACGGGTGATCGGTGTTGCCCCGTGGTTCAGATTTGGGGTGTCCGTGGTTTAGCTTCCTGCTGGACGAGGCACTGAGGCTCTCCTGGTGTCCTCGAAAGGGGTCGTGTGTTTTTAAAACCATCATTTTTGAGGAAAGTCAAAGCCTTTGAGTGGGGCTGTGCCTCCTTCCTGGGGGGAATGTGCATGATGTCAGGGATAGCGGGGATGGGAGGGAGGCAAACGCTGCTGCCGTCGGTCTGTCCATCCCTGCATCCCTGTGGATGAGGTGGCAATGGGGTGGTGGAGGTGCCTCCATGGGTGTGAAGTTCTGGCAGAGGCTGTAAACAGGCGCTGAATGATGCTCAGGGTGGGACCAGAACAGCACCCAGAGGTGTTTGAACATGCCCCGTGTGTGAGATTGGATCCATTTTGAGCACAAAGCACTCCGTGGTCGCTGGGTTTCGGGATCTGCCTCCCCCAGGCTCACAGCACAGGAGGAGGAGGAGGACAAACAGAGTGTGTTTGTCCCCGAGGAGCAAAGTGGCTCCTCTGAATGACGCCCCCGAGCCCTGCTGACGGGTTGTGTAATTTTAATCCCCATTATTGGCGGATTACGAGCTGTGACTTTGCAAAATGCCTCCCTGCAGAGTGAGGAGAGGAAGCGCTGCCGGGCAGCCCTGTCTGAGCCCATCCCTGCCTGCATCCCGGGATAACGCAGGCCCAGGGAAGGCGGGTCCTTGGGGTAAGGTTTGTGTAACAGAGGTGAACGAACCTTACCTTGGGGTAAGGCTTGTGTAACACAGGGCTGGGTGGGGAGCAGCACGTGGGGAAATGGCTCTTTAAAATGTAGTTTATCACTTTGGGTACCAAGGATTGGCCGTGGGGTGGTTTGGGATGCTGAGGGTACCCAGGCTCTGGGCTGTGGGGCAGCAGCCACCCCTTCTCCTGCCAAACCCCTAGCTCTCCGGGCTGTCAGGATGCTCTGTGGCTGTGAAACCAGGTGTGTAAGCTCCGGGTTAATAGGAAAAGCCTTTAAATTCCCAGAAGTGTTTTGGGGTTATCTGCGTTCATGGAGAACAGGATTAAGCAGGTGCCTGCCTTTTCTTCCCTTCCCTTTGATGGCTTATTCCAGTTTTCCCTTGCCTGACTCATTCATTACAGGGCAACAAAAGAACACTGGATTTGCCATCTCGATGTTTTTTTAACCAGTCAAGGTTGAGCAATTTGTGACAGTGAGACGTGGCACTGCTCAAGCACGAGCGAGCGTGGGAGCAAAAGTCAGGGACTCCTGTCTTCAGTTATTGATTAAATGTTTGCTCGATCTTCAGGATAATTCTCAGGTGTCTGTGTGGCAAATGAGAGGGATGTTCAGCTGAGCATCCCAGCCATGATGCTGGAGTGATGCTCCCAGGTGGGATGTGAGCCAGGGGAAGCAGCTTCACCTGCTCCAGAGGCTCTGGCATCCCACGGGAAGAGGTCTCACAGCAGCAGTTTCCAAGGGGCACAGGAGCTCTCCTGACCCCCACGCCCTGCAGGGACAGACAGGGTGCCAGGGGGACACAGCCCAGCACCATGGGGTGATGCAGCAGCTCCGGGCAGGATGGGCTTTACTCATTTTGCACCCCAGAGGAAGGAAATGCCGAAACTCACGTTGGAAGGGCCCCCAGAGCTTGCAGGAGGCAGCGATGGGGCGGCCGGAGCCGGGCGCGTGCGCTGGCCTGGACACGTCCCCGGGATCCGGCCCCTCCCCGCCGCTGGCCATCACACCCTTCCCCTCCGAGGTCCCTGAGGAAGAGCAGGCCTCGTAGAGCAGATAAATATAGCTGTAAACAAGCAAACAGGACGTGTCCTGTGATGATTTAGGAGCTCACGGCGGCGGGGCAGCGCTGCCTGTGCGGGGCTGGGTGGCACTGCCCAGGCTGTGCCCAGGTGGTGTGGGTGGCTCGTGGTGGCTCGTGGTGGCCTATCTTCTGCCCACAGCACCAGCGAGGCGAGGCGCCTGCTGGGGAGGGGGACAAAGGGCCAAAATGGGCCCCCTGAGAGAGTGGAGGGAGGTGTGTGGGTGTTTGGCCGCTGGAGATGGAGGAAGGGGCAAATCCATCCCAAATGTGGGGACAGTTGACAACAAGGGGACAATGGGGAGAGGTTTAAGCAGGAGCAAGGGAGAAGCTCAGCCAAGCTTCCTCCCTGTAAGGAGAGGGGTACCTGGAGGGTTTGCAGCTGGGTGATGCACGTGGGTTGGTTTTCCCCCAGGGAGCTGCGGCAGAGGCAGGGGTGGAAGGGCCATGGTTTGTGTCCCCAAGCTCACCACCCCAATGACCTCCTGCCTTCCCCTGGAGGCTGAACACTGTCCCTCTGTCCCCTGTGCAGTGACAGTGGACGTCCCTTCTTCCTCTACCTGGCCCTGGCCCATATGCACGTCCCGCTGACCCCCCCGCTGCCCCCCGCCCCGGGCAGGGGCATCTACGGAGCCTCCCTGGGCGAGATGGATGCGCTGGTGGGACGGATCAAAGAAGTGGCCGACAGCCTCGGGAAGGGCAGCACACTCCTGTGGTTCACAGGTACAGCAGGAAAACGGGCTGGGAGTGACACTGGGGACCGCACCTGGGGCAGGAGGCAGGACCTGTGTTTGTCCCCTGCCCTCGATGCTCCCATTGCTCTGTGGATGGGGAGTGCTCCCAGCATGGGATGAGGGTCCCAGGCTGCTGTGGTCACTCAGCTGGGTGCCCACCCTGCCACCCCCCTCTGGCTGTAGGGCTGAAGTGACTAATTAAACCACAAATCCTCGTTCGTTAAGAAGCCCAAATCCGCTGAGCAGCTTCCCTAATGAGGATGTCTTGCTCCTGATGACAGGAACCGCTCATTAACACCCAGAGCTGGTGGCACCGTGCCCCCCCTGCCCTGACCTGGCTGCACTCCAGCCCCTGCAAACAAACTGCTAAAAACCAAACCCCATCAACCAGCTGCTCTGGCTCCTGTGGGGACACATCACAGGGGTGGCAAAGAGGGATGGAAGGGTCACTTGTCCTTGCCTTGCCCCCACTGTGGAGATGTCCCCTGTGGTCCTGGTGTCTCTCATGGGGACATTTCTTTCTCTTGCAGGTGACAATGGCCCCTGGGCACAAAAGTGTGAGCTGGCAGGACGCCTGGGGCCATTTGTGGGTGCCTGGCAGAGGCAGCGAGGTAACCTGGCAGCGTGGGGGGGTCCGGGGGGGCTGCTCCACAAAGCCCTTCAGTGCCCATCGAGGGCACACGGGCAGCATTCCACCCCCAGCCTTTCCCTGCTGCTGCCCTGCCCTTCAACACACCCCAGCGCTATTTTTTTCTTCCAAACTGTGAAGTTTCCCCCAAAACTGCTGCGGGGGTTGGGCTGGGGTCCCCATTATCCCGGAGCTTGGGGTGAGTGTGCTGGTTTGGAGATGGGATGTTGCTGTCTGCCCCATCAGGGTCTCACATCCCCCAGCCCGATCCCACCCGGAGCAGAACACCCACCACCCTCCTCGCACCCCAGGACTTTGCTTTTCTTTCTCTACACCGTTTTGTTGGTGGTTTTTTGTTTTGGTTTGTTTTTTTTTTTTCACTCTTTCCTCCTTTTCCGGCCAAGCCATCTGCTTGGTGGGTTTGTTTCGGCCGGGGCAGCCAGAAACACTCATGAGTCAGGCGTTTCCCACTTCTGCTTGAATTACGCGGTGTTAACGTGCCAGGCTCGGCTCTTCCGTGCCCGGGGTCAGCTCTGAGGGGCTTCCTTCTCTTCCTGACACCCAGCCACGGCACCGTCACCGCTTCCCCGGGCAAACTGCGCTGCCTTCGTCCCATTCCCAGCGCCTTTCCTTCTCCTGTCCCCGGCATGGAATCGCAGCCTTAATTTTCTAGTAAACAAACCCCGCTGACGACCCCGGGTTGTTGCTCTTGAGCAACCCACGGTCACAAGCCCGAGCGGATGATGCAGAAACTGCGGCGTTCGGGAACAGGGCGAGCAAAACACGGCAAAAAAAAAAAAAAACACGGCAAAAAAAGCCACAGCCCCTCGCTGCCCTGCACAGCACCCGGAGCGCCTGGGGAGGAGCTAGGGCTGGCACAGCGCTCCGAGCTGGCTGTAAACACCACGGTGGCTTCGGAAATCCCTCGGCTGCTGGCTGCAGGGATGTTTGGAGAGCCGGCCCGGGCTGCTGCCGGCTGGGCTGGCACTGCCCGCACCGCCCGGCGTGGGATGCTCGGCATTCCCAGCCCGGGGGGATTGTTCCCCGGCAGGGAAAAGCCCCCGAGGAGTGGCAGGGCATGGGGAAAACAGACTGCCCCTGCCTCTGTTTGTTTCCATATGTCTCTATATGGTTCTATTTGTTTCTATTTTTCTACATGTTCCTATATGTCCCTATATGGTTCTACATGTTCTTATATGTTCCTATATGTTCCTATAAATTTCTGTATGTTTCTACATACATGTTTCTGTATATTTCTCTAAGTTTCTAACATGTTTCTGTATGTTTATATATGTTTCTAACGTGTTCCTATATGTTTTTACATGTTTCTATATGTTTCTGTATGTTTCTACATGTTTCTATAAATTTCGGTATGTTTCTACGTTTCTGTATATTTCTCTAGGTTTCTAACATGTTTCTATGTCTATGTATGTTTCTAACGTGTTCCTATATGTTTCTGCATGTTTCTATATGTTTCTGCATGTTTCTGTATGTTTTTACGTTTCTATATATTTCTGTATGTTTCTATATGTTTCTAACATGTTCCTATAGGTTTCTATATGTTCCTATATATTTCTGCATGTTTCTGTATGTTTCTGTTTCTATACGTTTCTACGTGTTTCTATATCTTTCTATGTGTTTCTATAGCTTTCTATATGTTTCCTGTAGCTCCATCTCTCTTTTTAGGCTCCAACCCTAAATTCCAGGGATGTTTTCCACTAATTTCAGGTGGTCACTGGTGTTGGGAGAGAGCAGCATATCCATGTGTGCTTCCCCTTTCTCTGTGCCTCCCACAGCTCCCACCCCAAAAACTCATCTCCCACCTCGGGGTCAGGAGTCCATCAAGTGGGGAGAGAGAGAAACATTCTGGGGATGTGATGCTGGGCATGTTTTGAGGCAGGTTGGGGAAGTTCCAGAGCTGGTGTCCCTGGGTTGAGGACCTGCTGTGTGTGTGGTGGGACCAAGGTTTTCATCCTGCCACGGGAATGCACAGTTCAGCTTTCCTGGAAAGCCTGGAAAGTCCCCACAGCAGCAGGGCTGCATCATCCCCACTCTGCAGAAAATTCCCTGGTTGGGTTTGGGTGTTTCAGCCCTGTTTACTTCCCAAAGTGTTAATGTGACCTCATTCCCACACCAGCCAGGGGTGCTGGGGTGGCTTGGTCAGGAAATATCCCTCTGATGTCCTTCCAGAGACCCCTGACCATGCATGGAAAAACCCTGGAAATGCATCCAGGAGGATGAGCTTTTCAATATATGTGCAGAGATGGGGATAGATATTAATTGCTATAATTGCTGTGATTTCCTAGGATCTCCGAGGGCAGGGAAGGGGAAACAACAAAAGTTTGGGTGGGGAATGGGAGAGATTGGGGATGTGCTTGGTCCGTGCCAGGGTCAGAAACTTTTTCACTGGGCTAGTCCTTGTGGCACCTGTGCCATTCGTGTCCTTGTGCCATTCGTGTCCCCGTGGGCAGGGCAGCGTTGTTTGGGGCATGGATCAGCCCGTGGCTTCAGGCAGTGACTCTGGAGAGGCCGGGCCGGGCTGGGGATGGGCTGGGGACAGGCAGGGACTGTCTTGGCTGTGCCCGGAGGAAATGGCTCGGGGCGAGTGCCGTTGCCATGTGCACACTGAAAGGCAGAGCACAAAGGCTGCCCCTGGGAAGTTTGCTCGGTGAATCGCGTTGGGATTTTCTCTTTGCCCCATTCCCAGCCCCTTCCCCCTCCAGCTGCCTGGGGCCCTTTGGGCTGCAGCCAAGGCAGAGGCTCTCCAACCCCCTTCCAGCCCTTTTGATGCTTGGTGCTCCCATTTTGGGGCTCAGCACCCCAATTTTGGTGCTCAGCACCCCAATCCCAGTGCTCAGCACTCCGGGTGCTGGAGGGACTGGGCAGTTTCCCTGTGCATCTCAAATCCAAGGGCAGAGCAGGCGTGCTTTGGGTGCTGACAGGGAAAGGATGGCTCAGGTTCATTAACTGGCAGGAGGGTTATTAGCAGGATGATATTTTTAATGAGGCAGGTTTCCAGTGGGTGGGGAGGGGGGAGCTGTTGGTGCTGAGCCCTGCAGAGGACAGAAGCCCCTGGAATAAATTCCTACATTTCCTGCCTGCTCCATTCTCTCACCTGGCATCAAAAGTGGCTCTGGCAGCTGCTGCATTTCTCATCACTCACTGGAGCAGAGAAACTCGAACCAGTGCCCAGCTGAGACCCCTTTCTTTTCCCTTTCCCTTTGAAAAACTCCTGTGGTTCTTCTCCCTTCCCTGGCCCAGCGAAACCATCCTCCTTTGGGGTAATTTTCACCATCTCTGCCTCTGAACAGTTCCTTTCCCAGGGAAACTCCGGGCTCAGGAGGTTTCCCAGTACCAGCAGGATGCTGAACTCTGCCCTGTTCTCCTGCAGGTGGGAGCTCAGCAAAGCAAACAACCTGGGAAGGAGGGCACAGGGTGCCAGCCCTGGTGTACTGGCCCGGCCGTGTCCCTGCTGGGAGGACGAGCCACGCTCTGCTCAGGTAAGAGCCCCTCGGGGAGCGGGGTGGCCCCGTTTGGAAGGACCCCCCCATCCCCACACTGCCACCCAGTCATCACCTGGATTTTGGCAACAGCAGCTGCCTGCTCTGGTTATTCCCTGCCTTGTGCCAGACTGTACTTTTGTCCTCTCCCAGGACTTACTGCTTCAGCGGAGAGGAGCTGAAAGGGCTTTTTGTGAGGCTGGAGGGTTGGCGCTCGCAGCCGCCGGGCTCCGTGTGCTCCTGGCCGCGGTGGCCAAGGGCCTCCCGATAATTAAAAGATGACGATGTTCTCTCTCGCCAGCGAGGAGCAGGCTCAGGCTTTGTGGTCTGCGAACGGCTTGATGTGGAGGAGGGTGCGGTTGTGAGGAGGGATGGTGCTGGCAATCCCTGCAGGATGCGGCCGGGCTGGGATCCGGCGGCAGCGAGGGCAAGGGCTGCTGCCCCCGTGAATCTCCTGGCTGGGCAGGGCAGCAGGGAGGGGCTGTACTGCCCCTCTCCCTGCACTGTTTGCACCCCTTCATGTGCAACCTGCACCTCTCCTTCCAGCCCTGCTTGGCAGCAGATGTGGGGCACAGCCTGGGACAGTGCGGGGGGAATGTCCCCGTTCATCCCTGATGGATCCCCACAGTGCTGGGGGTCAGGAGAGGGGTTTGGGGTCACTGGGCAGTGGTTTGTCCTGTCCCTGTTCATCCGTGATGGATCCCCACGATGCTGGGGGTCAGGCTTATGGGGTTTGGGGTCAGTGGGCATTGGTTTGTCCTGTCCCCTCTTATCCTTGATGGATCCCCATGATGCTGGGGGTGAGGCTTGGGGGGTTTGGGGTCGCTGGGCATTGGTTTGTCCTGTCTCCGTTCATCCCCGATGGATCCCCACGATGCTGGGGGTCAGGAGAAGGATTTGGGCATCCCTGGGCATTGGTTTGTCCTGTCCCTGTTCATCCCTGGGGGTCACTGGGCATTGGTTTGTCCTGTCCCTGTTCATCCCTGATGGATCCCCACAATGCTGGGGGTCAGGCTGGTGGGGTTTGGGGGTCACTTGGCATGCCCTGTCCCATTTCATCCTTGAAGCACACAGGCTGGTGGGGCTGGGGGGTTGCTGGGTGTTGGGAAAGAACGTCCCAGCTGCTGGAAGCAGGTCCTGACTGGTGGGCCCTGAGGCAGTGTTGGGTGTTTCTAAGGTCCATGAGATAAGCTGGAGACACTCACTCGTTCCACAGCCCGAGGGCAGCTCTGGGAGCTGGATTTTTGCAGGCAAGGGAAAGTTTGAGCCATAAGCTGAGTCACTGGTGTCTGGTGGAGGAGATGAGGAGCACGTAGCACCCCATGGTTTCACCTCCAAATCCTTGTCCTCCATGGGCCTTGGTGCAGAGCTGCAGCAGCTGGGGCAGCATGAGCAGGATCAGTGCCCATCCCATCCCCCTGTCCCTGCCTCCAAGCCCAGGAATTCTGATTATCTCCTCAAAGACCTTATCTCCTGCGTTTCTCAGCTCCAGTCTGACAGGTTGGACAGCTGGAAATCTAGAAGTCCAGCAGAGGCAGGTGCAGCACTCCAGGTGCTTGGAAAGTGGCTCTGTAGCTCCCCGGGAGTCACAGTGCCACTGGTGTCCCCCCCAGCAGAGGTGGCAGTGCCATGGGGCCGTGCCCAGCTCTGGCAGCAGGAAGGGGCACCCCCTCTTTGTAGGGCAGCACGGAACCAGCCTGGGGGGTGTGAGCAATGGGTCATGCTCAGGAAAGTGTCACCACCGTGCTCCCAGCTGTGGCCTGAGGTGGGACAGGGGATGTGGAGGGACATGGAGGGATGTGGAGGTGCTCACAGGACAGGTGGCTTTTCTGTGTGCCTCTGCCACCCTCGGGGACTGCCCCCGAAGATGAGCATGTGGGGAGGGAATGCAATGCCTGTGCAGGAGATCTGGGAGCCCTGTGCACTCACATCCACCCCCAGCCTGCTGGGATCCAGGGAAGAGCTGGGGAAGACCTCATCCATCTGCAGGGATCTCCTCTTCCCCTGGGGTGAGGGAAACACCTGGCTGGGGCACGGAGGCTGCTGGAACTGCTCAGAACCTCGTGGCTCCGTGTCCTGCCTGGCCAGGGAGCTCAGGGGTGAGCGAGGGTGAGCGTGCCCGGGGGCCAGGGAGCTGGAGCCAGCCCAGAAACGCTGATGCCTCGCCACAGACCAGCACCTGCACGCTGGGCTCTGCACAAAACTGCCTCGCCTGCTTTTCTTAATTATGTTTAATTGTCAGAGCCACCCACTGTGCTTCTGCCCTTCCCTGCCCCAACCCGAAGTAGGGCATGGAAGAAGTAGGTCAGGAGGGTGGTGAAGGAGGAGATTGCACCATCTTGGCTGTGCTGGCAGCATGGGGCAGGGCAGGTTGGCTGAGCTGTGTGGTGTGGAGAGAGCTGCTGCAGCTGCCTGCACCCTGTCAGTGCCAGGCAGGGCAGTGTTCTGTGCCATCATGCCCAGGGTGCAGGGATGCTCAGCACCATGGCAGGGCACTGCTCTGTGCCACATCATATCCAGAATGCAGGGATGCTCAGCACCATGGCAGGACAATGTTCTGTGACAATATCATGCCCAGGGTGCAGGGATGCTCAGCACCATGTCAGGGCAGTGCTCCCACCACGTCCTGCTGGGGGTCAGCATGCCCATTGTCCCACAAGCAGGGGACAGCTGCTGTCCCTGGGCACTGCCAGGCCCTTTTCTCTTGGTGTTCAGGCAGTAGCAGGATGCTGGAGTGGCTTTCTGTGTTAAATCTCTCTTGAGAGGGCAGGGGTCAGCAGTGTGGCTTTCCTTTTCCCTGAAGCATAGATTCCCCAGCTTGGCTCCCAGGATGTGTCTGCTGGTCGGGCCTTTGCTTTGACTCCAACTTCAACCAAAATCCTATTTTTTGTGCCTTTTCCCGTGGGTTACACCTGCCCATGGCTGGGAAAATCTTCAACCACCTCTGCCCTCAGTCATGTTGTTCTCCCACCCCAAAGCTGCTTTCCAGAGGTCCCATCCACTGGGTCAGGGCTGTTTGGCAGCTTCCACATGCATTGGGATGGGAGCTGGATGCTGGGGGTGCTGTGCACCCGTGGGACCAGGGCCAGGCTGCCCAGGTGAGCTGCTGTTTTGGGGGGCTCTGCTCTGCCCCCAGCCAGCTTCCTGCAGGGATTGCAGTGGAGAGCCAGGATTTTTTTGGGCGCCTCCCGGCCGTCCTGGCCATGGGGGCTGTCTCAGTGAGCACTGCAGCTCGCAGCAGTGTTTGTTCTTATTTGTTCTCTCTGTCTCTTAGCAGCTCAATTAAAACTCGTTCAATGGCAGAACCGGGGGCTGTTAAGCCCAGGGCTCTTTCCTCTCTCTGCTGAATCCCAGCAGCTAGCTGGGGGTGAGAGGGATGTGAAACCAGGGCTTGCCAGGGCCAGAGCTGGGTTCAGCCTTTTCAGCTGTTGGGAACTCTCTTTTGAGGGATATGGGGTTCAGGTGAGGTTGGGGAGACCCTGCAGGGATCCTCACTCTTTGTTCTGATGAGTGTCCCCTCTTTCCCCAGCATCCTGGACATCTTCCCCACGCTGGTGGCCCTGGCTGGGGCAGCTCTGCCCCCAAACAGGCGCTTTGATGGCTTGGATGTGTCCCCAGTTCTCTTTGGCTGGTCGGATGTGGGGCACAAGGTAAGGCAGAGCCACCCCCAGTGCCACCCCCTCCTGACAGCAGGTCCTGAGCTAAGGCAGGTAAGTGGGGGTGGAAGAAGGCTCAGACTGGGATGTGCAGGTCCATGGGAGTGCCAGTCCCTGGCTTGGAGGAGGAGGACAGCTGGAGATGGATGGTTGGTGCTGTACTGGGCCGGTTTGGGATATCAGGGTCAAAGGGCTTTGGGTTAATGAAGATTGTTCTGTGCTTTGTTCACAAATCTGGGATTTGGGGTGGAAATGCCTGTGCCTGCAGCTTGGCCCCTTCCTGTGTGCCTCAGAGTGTGTCTGTGACCCCAGGGACACCAGCCTGGGGATGCTCAGGCTTGTGGCAGCCTGCAGTGCCCAGAAGGTACATCAGTGTGGGGAAGGGGTTCAGACCTGGTTATACCCATTTATTTATCACACCAGACCAAGACAAAACAAACCCCTCCTTCTCCCAGCTCCAGGGTCACACTGGGACAGCCCACCCCATATCCCACAGCTCTGTCCAAGCTGGCAGCTCCTTTCACCCCAAAAAACACAATTTGCAGGACAAGCAGAGTGGCCACACGTTTGTCTTGGAGTTGCACGAGATTTCTGCAGAACCAACAACAACAACAAAAAAATAAAAGTGGCTTTAATAGCAGTCCCAGGGATAAATCCTGATTTTGCTTTTAAAGTCCACCCTCCTGCAAGCACCGTGAGCCAGCTCCCAGCGGGATCTTGGATTTGCTTTTGGTGTCCATCAGGGGTTTGGTATTTGCTTTGTATTTATGGAATCCTCTGCTGAACTGGGAGACAGAGCAGGCAAGGGGATGGGATGTGGCCAGCACGCTCTGCCCTGCTCCTCAGGATTAACCCTGCTGTGCACAGGCTGTGCTGGGAGCAGGGCATGGGGGATGCTGGGAGCAGTGGTTTCCTGGGAACGATCGTTTTTTGGGAATGGTCGATTGCTGGGAATGATGGTTTGCTGGGAATGATGGTTTGCTGGGATCAATGGCTTTTTGGGAATGATTTTTTTTTTGGGAATGATTTTTTTTTGGGAATGATTTTTTTTTGGGGAATGATGGTTTTTTGGAAATGTTGGTTTGCTGGGAATTATGTTTTTTGGGAGTGATGGTTTGCAAGCAGCAATGGTTTGCTGGGAATGATGATTTGCTGGGAGCAATGTTTTTTTGGGAATGATGGTTTGCTGGGAATGATGTTTTTTTGGGAATGATGGTTTGCATGGAGCAATGGTTTGCAGGCAGCAATGGTTTGCTGGGAGCCATGGTGTTTTGGGAATGATTTTTTTGGGGAATGATGGTTTTTCTTGGGAATGATGGTTTGCAGGCAGCAATGGTTTGCTGGGAACGTTGGTTTGCTAGGAGCACTAGTTTGCTGGGAATTATATTTTTTGGGGAATGATTTTTTTGGGAATGATGGTTTTTGGGAATGTTGTTTTGCTGGGAGCGATGGTTTGCTGGGAATTATGATTTTTTTGGGAATGATAGTTTGCAGGCAGCAATGGTTTGCTGGGAATTACATTTTTTGGGAATTATGATTTTTTGGGAATGCTGGTTTGCAGGCAGCAATGGTTTGCTGGGGGTCAGAGTGCAGCCATTCCTGTGTGGAATTCCCCCCAAGGGGTGGGATTGCTCTGCCATGGGATGGGGTGACCTCGGAGGGGACCCAGAGCCCCTGGGGTGATGGGAGCAGCCGTGTCCCCCCTCCCTCCCTCCCTTCCTCCCTCCTGGCTCCTGTGAGTGGCCAGCAGTGACCCCCGTGCAGGGCTTCCCTTGACACAAATCCTCCTGAAAGCAGCTCCTTCACTCACTCCAATGCCCAATTTCCACACTTTCCTAATTGGGGTCGCTGGAGCTCCCAGTGTGGGCTGCCTGGGTGACACTGTCCCAGTGTCCCAGCTTGGCACTGGCACACACAGGAACGGGGCTGGGGTGACACCAAGGTCCTGCTCAGAGCAAGGGCTGTTGGCAGGAAAAATAAACCACATCCTCCAAGGAGCACCCAGGGTAGCAGGGGCAGTAAATCCCTCTGTCCATCAGCTGAATGTGAATAGCCTGGAGCACCGAGTTCAAGCAATGAATTTTCAAGGGAGGAAAGGCTTTTTCCTCCCCTTCTCTATTTTTTATTTATTAAAATAATAGCCATGGATTAATGGAAGAGTTCCAGATCTGGGAATGTTTCTTGAATCAAAACAAGCTCCTTAATTATACAGTAAATTATAACAGATTTTCTAAGTGTGGGGTTTTAAGAGATTTAGGAACATGATTGTTGGTAGAAAGGGAAGTTTGAGTGCCCTTGGCAGCATCCCAGCTGTGCTATTAAAGGTGTAGGCAAAGCTTTGAGGCTGGAGACAGATGAATTGGTTCAGTTCCTGGTCCCTTGGCTTCACAGGGACTTGAATATTTGCTGATTCCTGCTTTGGAGCTCTTTTATCTGCCCGAGGAGTGTCAGCAGAAGGGGACTCTGCAGCAGAGCTTCCTCCTTGCACCAAGTTCACACTGCACCACCTCTTCCATTTTACACCCTTCCTATTTTTCCCCAAAAACATGAAAATCCAACCAAATTCCAAAAGGTGAATTTTAAATAAATAATTTACTTTACAACGGAGGGCAATAAAAGAAAGTGAGAGCATTTGGAAATCACCCCCTACCCCGAATCCTGGCATTTCTTGGATGAGGATCCAACCAGTCCCATGAGATAATGGCTACATCCAGGCCAGGGAGCAAGGCATGGACACCTCTGGGTGCCTGGGATCCCTGGAATTCTCTGTGCCAGGCAGTGTGGGATGGGGATCTCGGGGTTCCTGAAATTCTCTGTGCCAGGCAGTGTGGGATGGGGATCTCGGGGTTCCTGGAATTCTCTGTGCCAGGCAGTGTGGGATGAGCACCTTGGGGTGCCCAGGGTGCCCTGGGATGCTCCCTGAGGGGCAGGGCTCCGTGCCGGGCACCTGCTCAGGCACTGCTGCACTCATCAGCTGTGAGTGCTGTTACTAAACTTGGCACTGCAGCTGCCTACAACTCCAGCAGATGTTTCTAATTTTTAGCACAGTGGAAATTTCTTGAATCACTTTTAAACTCAAATCCCAGGGAGGAAACCTCAAGTGACTCATCCCTCAGTGAAGGCATTGGCTCCGCGGCAGATGTTATCGGAGAGAGGAGCTGCTGGAGTGTCCAGCTCACTTGTCTCCTCACTCCCCAGTGCCAGAGCAGCCCTCCTGTGTGGATCAAGTGTCCTAAATACCAAAAGGGAGAGATTCCACCCACCCTCCCCTCCTTGCCTTGCTGCTCACCCCGTTCCCTGGCTGTTGTCAGGGAAGGGAGCCCTCGCACAGCGGGGTGAGTCAGACGGACGGGAGGGATGTGGGAGTGATGTTCCAGCTCCTCACCTTCCCCTCTGCCTCGCATGAGCTCACCCTCAGCTCGTGGCTGGCTGCTGGCTCCAGCCTGGGGCTCGGCTCCCTTGGATGTCCCCGGTGCTGGCTGAGCTGTGAGCACCCAGGGAGGTGCTGGGTGAGCACCTGAGACCACCCCAGCTCCCAAAAAATTCCACAGGCATTTAGCGATAGGACAAGGGGGAATGGTTTTAGAGTAAAAGATGGGAGATTTAGACTGGGTGTTAAGAAGAAATTCTTAATTTTAAGGGTGGGGAGGCTCTGGCACAGGTTATCCCAAGAAGCTGTGGCTGCCCCATCCCTGGAAGTATCCAAGGCCAGTTTGGATGGAGTTTGGAGCAACCTGGGATAGTGGAAAGTGTCCCACCATGGCAGGGGTGGGACTGGATGGTCTTTGAGGTCCCTTCCAACCCAAACCATTCTGTGATTTTGTGATAATCTGTCCTGCTCTGCTGAAAGCCCCAGAGCCCTTGTGTCCCTTTCTTGCCATAGAACTGGGAGGTAAATTCAGAGGGTCCTGCAGGGCCAGGGAAGTCCAAGGGAGATGCTGGTGTTTCCTGAGACCCTTTTGCCATCATCCCATCCTTCAGCAATCACAGCTCTGCTGGTTGCTCTGAGTCCAGGGCCTCAATGACGTCTGTGAATGTGTTCAGGGGTGGGATGTGGCTGTTCTCGGGGGGGAGTGGATTTCATGGAGCAGGATTTCCCTGCCACGGGCTGACAGGAACGATTCTGTCCTTCCTGCAGGTTCTGCTCCACCCCAACAGTGGTGCAGCTGGGAAGGTTGGTGAGATCGAGGCGCTGCGGCTGGCTCAGTACAAAGCGTTTTACACCACAGGTAGAGTGTCCCTGCCAGAGGCTGTAAAGTCCAGGAAGAGACTTCTGGGCTTCTTAGATCCCTGCAGATGCAGGTGAAAAACAACTCAGGTTAATTCAACCAAGAGCAGACCCAAGGATGTGCCGACCTGTGTCTGCAGCATGGTGCTGCAGCCTGGGCTTGGTCTCAGAAACGCTCTTGGAATGAGAGCTGGGATGGGGTGGGAATGGGACACCCTGGCTGGGTGAGGAATACAGAGGTGATGCCTGGACCTCTGTGACTCCAGGGCTTTTCTCCCATTTCCTCCCCAGGAGGGGCCATGGCCTGTGACGGCAGCATTGGGCCAGCAGAGCAGCACCAACCACCCCTCATTTTCAACCTGGACCGTGACATCCAGGAGCAGGATCCTCTGGATGTGGCATCCAGGGAGTACCAGGAAGTGCTGCCTGCCATCAGCAGGGCTTATGCCCAAGCTCTGCAGGACATTGCAGCAGACAATGTCTCCCTTGCAGATTATTCCCAGGATCCAGCTGCAATTCCCTGCTGCAACGTGCAGCACGTGGGCTGCCGCTGCCACGGGGCCACGCAGGATCCCCACGTGGAAAAGAGAACAGCACAGCTTTGTCTTTAAGCAAATAATTGCTCAGGCTGCTCCTTTCCCAAGTGTGGTGTCTGTGAACTGCAGGCTGGAGGTGGCCATGGAGGGATGGAGGCTGTGGTTCCCTTTGCTCCGTGCTGGGAAGAGGGAGGTGAGTTGGGTGTGGGTCTGGGGGAGCACACAGAGGGTCCCCTTTGGATCCTGGACATGTGGAAAGCTTTTTGTAGGGCTCTTTATCTGGGAAAGAGACAGCTCTTGGATTAAAACTACCTTCTGTGAGAGCTGGCTTTGGGAGAGGATTCCTCTGGGAAATTTGCTTTGTTTTCCTCTAAGAAGAAATCTTACAGGAGCAGCTGGTGGGAGCACAAGGCAGGGGAGGATCAGGGCTCCAGGCAGAGGAGCTGCTCCTACTGATCCCAATGCAGGCACAAACGGAGTGAAACAGCTCCTGTGGGGCCATTTCTGGGCAGGAGCAAAGGCCTGGGGAGCTGCAAAGGCAGAAATGAAGGTGCAACTGAAACCTGAGAAACCACTGGGATTTCTCAGCAGCTGAGTGAGGGTGTTCAGAAACCATTCTGGAATCTGATTTACACACCCAGATCTTTCTGTGGCCATAAGAGGACTTAAGTGGACTCACCCAGGTGTGCTGGCCTCACCCCAGTCCCCCAAACCCCTCCCACTCCCCAAACGTAATCCAGACTGACACCTTTAGGACCCCAGAGAGAACAGCAGGAGCTGCCAGGGACAGACTGTGACTTTATTCTGTCTTTCAACATAGCAAATGGCATCTTCTCTACTATCACTGCAAAAATATTTTGCCTGGGTTAAAATAGTCTGTATATACTGTACAAAGACATAAGTTTAATATCTCTTCCTATAAGTACATTTATACACATAAAACAGCATAAATTAGAAAAGGGACAAATGGGTATATAAAATTCTGGTTACATACAAATCTGATTAAATTAGCATTTACACTGTGGTTCTAACATAGAGTTTGTTAAATAGAGCCATGTGCATACAGTACATTGACACCCCACCCAGACACAAATTAAAACAGGAGCTAACAGGGCCAGGTGTTCACTTACACAGAGGAGAAAGTGTGGCCCGCCTTAATTCCTATTTTTTTTCCTCATCTCGGGGACTCACAGATCTGTTCTTCGAAACTCCTGGCTTTTCCAAAGCACCTCCCAGCAGCTGTGCTAAGCGTGGATGTTTTCCTTCTCCTCATGACCTCTTCGCCTTGCCCGGCTGACCTCCACGGCACAAGATTATCTACCAAAATCAAAACAGAAGGGCCTTACTTTTCCCAGCACCAGGGAGCGTTTCCAGTTGGTTTTATACACAGGGGAGGAGCAGGGGGAGGGATGTCCCGCAGTGTTTTACTTTCCATTCAAAGGCACATTGGTCAGAGGTTTATTTATTTGCTCTCCCCCTCCCCAAATTTACAGTCCTGGGAACAGGAACCATCTGGCTCGGTGATAAGTGTGGCTGGGGCTGAGCAGAGCCAGGCTTTGGGGAGTGCAGCTCCTGGGGTGAAGTGCATTGGCCTCACTAAGTGCTCCCAAAAAACTCAGCTCTGGTGTGGCTGGAAGGAAAGGTTTGTGCTGGCCATCCCTGCGTCACTCCAGGGTCTCTGGATGGATCCCAGAGCTAAACTCCAATATGTTAGACAGGATTAGGGAAGGGAAAGCCCAGCCTAAACACCAGCAAAGCCTCTGAGTGAGAGAGTAAAGCAGGAGCAGAGAAGAACAGGCAGCGGCAGCGCCCTGATTCACCTCCCATCAGCTGCTCCTGGGTAAAATGTGCTCCTGGATGAGGCGTGGGCAGCCCTGGCACAGATCTGCCCCAGCTCCAGCCTTGCCTGACATGACCTGGAAGGGATGTGAACCCCACAGCTCCTGCTGCAGAGGCTGCCAGCTCCTCCTCCCAGGTCAGTCTATCCACGAGCTGCAGGACCATCAGTGGCCAGGTTTCCAGGCACAAGCATTGACACTGCATGGCACAATTCCCAAGGGACCTCAGATAATGTACTGATAAGCTGGGCTTAATCCTGCAAGCCCCAGCTGCCCAAAATGCCAATCTGAGCTACAAGGGCAGGAGCCAGGTTCTGCCAAATTCCCTCATCTCCTATCAAACATAATTACAAGTGGAGTCTGTGGCCTTTCCTTTGCTACCAGCCAGCTGTTAAAAAACAATCACTTAAAATAATTAAGTGCCCATATCCATGCAACAGAATGAGGGAAACACCATCCAGCAAATAGCCAGGAGGAATCTGAGTGAATACTGGTTCCACAGAGCCACAGATGTATCTTGTATCAAGATCTGTGGTCTGGAGCAGCAGAGGGGTGTGTGGACCCCATGACAGGGCACTGATTTCTGCCCTGTTGTAGATCCCCCTGGATTTTTTCCCTCTTACAGGCAACAGCCTCCTTTGGCAGCACAGGAAACTACCCAAACTGTTTTGGGCAGCCAAAAAACGATGGGAAAGAGATGGTTTTTTAATAGTGATGGACTATCAGTGAGGGGAAGCTGCCTTTGAAGAGCTGATTGCAGTCTCACTTGACTTAATGAAATGGCTCTCCTGATAAAACCTCCATCTCTGGGCCCTGCAGCCAAATGCAGGATGGATCACCTAAGCCTGGAAACCAATCTGCTGGAAGAAATCATCCTTCCTACTGAATCCCAAAAGTTTTGGGAAGATCCCCTGGTGGCACTCTCAGCTGCACATAGGCTCTGCTGCTTGCAGGATTTCTTTTGCCAAACCTCACAGCACTACCCCAAAACTGCCCTACCTGGCCCAAAATACACCCCAGCAGCTCCAAGCACCACTGGAAACCTCATTCCCTGCTACACCCACAGAACAGGGGTGGGTGCTCAGGCAGGTGACCAGAAAACAGCCCAAACTGCCACTGTTTTGCAGCCAGAGCTGGGTTTGCTCTTCCCACCCTGTAAAATCTTGTGATCCTGCAGGGTGAGGGCTCTGCAGCCTCCTCCCTGCACATCCAGCATGGCACCCATGGCTTCAGCCCCCTGTCCCCCTCAGTAACACCTGAGTCCTTCCTGCCCCAGATCAGCAGTGATTTGGGAGTGCTTAATCCACCCCATTCATGCAGGAATTGTCACTGAACTGGTTTAACCTCCTTCTGCAATCCTGGCACCACCAGCAGCAACATCCACGTTCCCTCTTATGAAGCCACTTTTTACGAGTCCTCCTTGGGCTCCTCATCTCCTCTCTGATCTGTCCCTCCTTCCACTTAATGAACAGGCAGTGTTTGACAGGTTTTATGTCAGGCTGAAGCTGGTTTTCCTCAGTCTTTAACAGCTGAGCCTCTGAAGTCTTGCTTGAGGTCAAGGGAAGACAAGAGGTTTCAAAATGGGGAGAAACTGTAGGGTTTGAGCACTGCTGTTTCTCCAGAACCATGTCTGAGTTCAAAGCCAAACCGTGGGCTGCGGGTGAATATTCCATTTTGTCACAAGTTTTGAGGTTTTTAAAAGTCTTTTTGTTGCACACTGGAAAACAAACAAAACCCTTCCCATGTTTCCGCAAAGCTGAACGCTCTCAAAACATTTTTGTTGGATAAGGTCAGGTTTTTCTCTCCCTCCTTCTCTGCACAGGAGTGACCGATGCCTGAAACCCCCTTCACTGAGACTGGAGATCTCAAGTGCTGAGAAAACAGCCAAATTCAGTGAAATCCAGAGCATCCAAACATCCTGAGTGCTCCCACTGTGAGAGGCAAACCCCAAACACAAAGAGTGGGGCCTTTATCTAGAAGCTCCTTTTGCTCCCTGTTATCAGGGAGTATTTTTGGAAAGCACCTTCCCTTCCCACACCACCTCCTCCCTAACAATACACATGTCACTGCTCTGTCAGGTTAATGACAGGATTTGGAGGGATCAAAGTTCATTTCATAAAGCACCTGCTGTGGTACAGCAGGGGTTTTGGGGCTGCTTTCATCCAGCACAGTCCCAGCAGGAAGCCTCATTCAGGAGCAGCGTGATTCCTGCCTGCTGGCATTTGCTTGTCCCCAAACCATGAGTTCAAGAGCAGGTTTAGCAGAAGGAAACAAAGGATTTCTCTCTGTCCCTGCTGCTCTTTCCAGGGGCCTGGGCCATCACCTTCTCCGTGGGCACACAGAGGGAGACATTTTAAATATCTTTCTTGAGTAATGGAGTTGAACACCTGGGAAATTCCTGCTCCCAGTTTGCAGCAGGGAATGCTGCAGGTAAGGAAAGAAATAATCTGAGGGTTGTGTGAGCTGAGCTGGGTTTAGGTGGTGCTGGCTCAAAGGGAGTCATGAGCCAGCCTCCTTTTATCTAAGTAACACTTTGCCTCAGCTCAGAGGAAGGTGCCTCACAGAGGTCAGCTCAGCACATGGAACGAATCCTGGGATAAGGTTTGTACTTCCTCCTTTTCAGGCAAAACTCCAACAGCAGGATATGTAAAAATGAAGTAAGGAATTCCAAAAGCCTGCCAAGGCTGCAACCTGAAATCCATTACATTATTCTGCTGCATTACTGCCATAAAGACACCACTGATTACAACCAGATCATAGCACAGACCAACATTCGTCCAATTAGGGGTTAGACACTTAATTAATGAGTGCGGAATAGGAAAAGGAGCCAAAAAGACACTGCCAGGCTGAAGTTAGATTGAAAAATCCACTAGCTCCTTCCAATGGTAACTGAGAAAGTGCCACACCAAAATCATAAAATGGTTTAAAACTCTGTTATTCCTTTCATCTTTGTACTTGGAAAAGGAGTTTCCTTCTCAGTTATCTTGGAAATGAAGACACTGCTGAGGTTCAGGTATGTTCCAGTTGCATTCCATGAACTAACACAACTGACTGAAAATGCAACAGGGTATTAAGTTTTTATTTCTAAATTGTTCCAATTAAAACTATTCCTGGTAATATTAGAAACCTGCTCAAGGCACAAAGGTTAGGTCTGGATCTGAACACCATTCAGCAAGTTTGTTCAGTTCTATCTCTGCTTAGGTTTGACCATTTTTGCCCCATCCCCAGCTGCTGTTTAGTGGGAATGTAATTTTCCTGGCACTGTCCCTATTTTAAGTTATTTTAAGCTTCACAGTGAGCTGGGACTAGGAGGGGGCAATGGAATCTCTTCTGGGAGAGGTTACTACTTCCTTCTTAGCATGAGGGCTGCACTGCAGGTTTAGGGGTCCCGAATGCTCACAGGAGGGAACTCATTCTCATCGTCCAGACAGACGGGTCCAGTTGCAAACTCATGCTCTGGGATAACCTCCCCCCGCAGGGCTCCACCG